CGCCACCTCCCGTGTCGCCCCCACGTCCCCCGTCCCCCTCTCCACGTGTCCCACGCCCTCCCTGTCCCCCGAGGTGGCTGCAGGGCGCTGCGGCAAAATCCCCCCCGCCTCACCCCAGGACAGAGCGGCCGGGCGGGGTGCGCAGGCAGCTCGTTGGGTCACAGGGGCTGCGGCAGGAGCTGCAGGGGAGGGGGAGGTTCGCAGCACCCTGGGGAAAGTCCAGGATGGAGGAAACACCCCTCAAACCCGTCCTGCCCGGGGATCTTCACCGCCCTGGCACAGCATGAGCCCAGGCTGGTGAAGCCAGCGCAGCCAGGGAGCCGCTGCCAGGGCTGGTGCCCAGGGGAGGTGCAGTATGAAAGGACGGGAGGTTTCTCAAGGAGGGGAGGCTGAAGCCTCCCTCCCTGCAGCTCCTCCTTTCGCCTTGTTGTTGCAGTGAGGCTGGACAAGCTCTCGGAGGTTGCCAAGGTGAACACGGACGCCATCCGCTTGGCCCAGGAGGAGATCTGCGAGTACCGCCGCCAGCTCCAGGCCAAGACCACCGAGCTCGAAGCCCTCAAAGGGACCCAGGAGTCACTGGAGAGGCAGAGACAGGACTCGGAGGAGCGCCATCATGCAGATGTCCTGTCCTACCAGGTAATGTGGTGCAGTGGGCAGCACTCCAGGCATTGTCTGGTGGGGAGGGACCATCCAGCTGCTGGGGAGGAGCAGTGGTGCTATGGCTTCAGAGATGTGATGACCACAGCAAATTCTCAGGGTTGTGTCCAGAGCCAGCCTTCCTCAGGTCCTGGGGATGAGGTACCCAGAGCCTGAGGTTGCACCCAGACTGTTGTGTCCCTCACCCACGACGGAGCTGTCCCACGCCTCTGCCTGACTTTGAGCCATTCAAAATATTGGTCACAAATGCCACTAAACCACATCCAGAGTTCAGGCTGTGTCTTGTGTCCCAGAACTGGGAAGTGCAGCACAAAGGGTGGCACCAGGTGGGGGCTGTGACTGAAACACTGTCCCCAGGGTGATGCCCTACCAGCCTCAGACTGGGGTTCGGTGGCCACCAGACTCGCCCAAGTCCTAGAAACGTTCCCACAGCTTGTCCCTGCCGGAGGGAGCTCTGGCAGGGGGCCAGGGGCTCAGCTGGCAGCAGTGCAGCTCTCATCTGAGGTGGTGCAGGGCTCCTGCTGATTCCCCAAAGGGAACTGGACACACTGGAACAGCCCCCAGATGCATCCCCTTGCCTCTGTGTCTGCAGACCCCTCTGTGAGGGCACTCTGATGCTGAGTGAGCAGTCCCTCCTTGGAGACCAGGGCTGTTTAGGGGTGCTCTGTGTCCCTCTGCTCTTGGGGACTGGCTCCCCATGTCACCCGTTGCCTCTGTCTGCCCACAGGAAACCATCCAGCAGCTTGACAGCGAGCTGAGGAACACCAAGTGGGAGATGGCAGCTCAGCTCCGGGAGTACCAGGATCTGCTCAATGTCAAAATGGCCCTGGACATCGAAATTGCTGCCTATAGGTATGGGGTGGGCAAGGGGAAGGTGTGGGGGGTGTCTCAGCCAGTCCCTAGTGCTGATGTCTCTGGGGACACTCCTCAAGGGCCCTTGCTAACACCTGGGCCCTGCTTGGTGAGCAAGAGACCATCCATCCTCTGAGACCGTGGTGGGCAACATCCAACTGGGTGACCCAGCCCTGCACATGGCTTGGGGAGGGAAGAGTGAAGAAATCTGCACAGCCCAGGGTCAGCCAGCACATCAAAAGCAGAGCAAGGAGGGAAATGGAGCTGCAGGGCGTGGCTGACAGCTCCTGGTCATGGAAGGAGGTGAGATCTGGGTGAGACTCAATCACTGACTGCCCTACTCCGGTCTTTTCCTGGCAGAAAGCTCTTGGAAGGGGAGGAATATCGAATTGAGTCTGGTTTTGGGATGGTCTCGTTCCCCGAGGTGGTCCCCAAGGCTCCTAGCATCACCACCAACATCAAGGTGAAGAGTGAGGAGAAGATCAAGGTGGTGGAAAAATCTGAGAAGGAAACAGTGATTGTGGAGGAGCAGACTGAGGAAATTCAGGTGACCGAAGAGGTCACAGAGGAGGAGGAGGCAGCAGAGAAAGCAGCTGAAGAGGAGAAAGCTGAAGAGGAGGAGGAAGAAGAGGAGAAAGCTGAAGTAGAGGGCAACGAAGAGGAGGCCAAGTCTCCCGCAAAAGAGGAGGCCAAGTCCCCAGAGAAACCTGAGTCTCCCTCAAAGGAGGAGGCCAAGACCCCGGCTGTCAAGTCCCCTGAAAAGCCCCCAACCCCCTCAAAGGAGGAACCCAAGACCCCAGTGGTGAAGTCCCCAGAGAACCCTGCGCCCCCCTCAAAGGATGAGGTGAAATCCCCAGAGAAACCTGTGCCCCCCTCAAAGGATGAGGTGAAGTCCCCAGAGAAACCTGTGCCCCCCTCAAAAGAAGAGGCCAAGAGCCCAGCTGTCAAGTCCCCTGAAAAGCCACCAACCCCCTCAAAAGAGGAGGCCAAAAGCCCAGCTGTCAAATCCCCTGAAAAGCCCCCAACCCCCTCAAAGGAGGAGGCCAAGACCCCAGCTGTGAAGTCCCCAGAGAAACCTGTGCCTCCCTCAAAGGATGAGGCCAAGACCCCAGTGGTGAAGTCCCCAGAGAAACCTGCACCCCCTTCAAAGGATGAGGCCAAGACCCCAGTGGTGAAGTCTCCAGAGAAACCTGCAACTCCATCAAAAGAGGAGGCCAAAACCCCATCTGTCAAATCCCCAGAGAAGCCCCCAACGCCCTCAAAGGAGGAGGCCAAGACCCCAGCTGTGAAGACCCCTGAGAAAGTCAAATCTCCAGTGAAGGAGGAGGCCAAGTCTCCACAGAAGGAAGTAGCCCCAGCCAAGGAGCCCACTCCCTCCCCTCCAAAGGAGACTAAAGCCCCTGTGAAGGAAGAGCAGCCCAAGGAGGCGAGGGCTCCCTCCAAGCCCGGACCTGAGGAGGACAGGAAAGAGGAAGCTCCTAAGAAGGATGTCCCAGCCAAGGCGGAGGAGAAGCCCAAAGAGAAGGTGGCTGCTGTGCCGGAGCCTCCAGCCCCACAGGTGAAAGAGACCGCCAAGCCGGGCCCCAAACCTGCAGAAGAAGGAAAGGCTGAGAAGGCAGCAGCTCCACCAAAACCTCAGCAGGAGGTTGGCAAAGCAGCTGTGAAGGAGGCTGAGAAGCCAAAGGCCGAGGAGAAGGCGGAGGAGCCCAAGAAGGAGAA